TTGTATATGTACATAATATAATTTTGGTTACTGAGGACAAACAAGATTGGGTGCAGGCCTGGCCAGGACATAGGCGTCTTAATTGTGACAAAGGTGACCTGTGTGCTTGCTTGCTTGCTTAACAGCTGTTGGGAACTTCAAGATCCCTGTTCTCTCTTCTTATGGTCTTTGTACTGGACCTGGAGACTCCAATAGAGAGCATCCCATGTCAAGAAGGAGGGCAAGTGGGCACCCTATCAAATGACAGAGCAGGAGTTACATGGAGCAGGGCTTTTTCACTGGTGGTGCCCATTGTATGCCTCGCTCTTCCCAGACCTGTTCTCTTTTGGCCTGTATTTTGGAGCTTTATAATTTAGGAAGACTTTGGAAGAACTGGTTGACAAGTCTTATCAGTTGCTGACGTATGATTTTATTTGCTGCTATTCTGTGCTTCTGGTGCACCAGGGTTTACACCAGTGTAATAGAGTTGGCCTGGATGCCAGAAAGGATACAATTTACAAGCTTTCTCCATTATCTGCACAGCAGGGGGTGTTCAGTCAACAGTGCAAAGGCTGAGCTGAAGCATTCCCTGCTGGTCCCCTGCTTTCAGCAATAGGGGTCGCTGTTTGGCAGTACCCAATTGGTTGTCAGATTCTAGAGCTTCCTATTGGTGGCTCTTAGGTAATTCACAAAATACAGAGTCTATTCATAAAACACAGTGTTCATTCATAAAGCAGTAACATAAATCTCCATTGCTACATATTGGGTGTATATTTCAGCAGTTGAATGTACTAGTTTATGGCCATGCTGTGGTGTAGTGCTTATGTGACTGTGAATAAAAGGTGGCTGGGCTCATTGTCTTGGGGTTTGGGATAGAAGAGATGACAAAACTGATTTCCAATAAGTGCCCCCCTTTATTTCCATAACAAGTCCTTGAGTCTGTACTCTGAATGGTGACATCAGGGACCTAGAAGGTGCAGGGCTTGTCAGTCCAACCCCTGCACAGTCTCATCAGGGCTGACCTTAAGGCAATTGGAGCAACTGGGCCAAATTGGGCCCTGCGGGCCACTCCTAAGGGGGCCCCTGCACCAGGGCAATCTAGACCCACAAAATCTTATATCGTTAAGATTTTGCAGACTTTGGCTATGAACTGGGGCCCTACCAAAAAATAAAAATAAAATATCAAGTTGCACCCCACTGCTTCAAATTGGGCCCCACTGGCTAGCCCTGAGTCTAATAGTTGCTGGGCCTATGTTGCCCTGCCCTTGCATGAAGTCTTGGGTTTGCAATTTTGGGAGAGGGGAGACTGCCCCCTGGGGAGCGGGAGGACTGGCGAGCCCCCCTAGATTTAGAGGCCCTGGCTTCAGCCTACTTAGCCTAACATAAATCTGGCACTGATCCAGTGGCCAACCTGGTGCCCATATCCCTGAACTGTCCCAATAAAATCAGGACATCCCATTTTTTCACATGAGAACATGGCACCCTCAAACATGCATTTTTTGGCACCGCGATCTCACCCTGAAAAAGCTTCTCCCCCCAGGACTGTGATCTCTCATGGAGCCCCAAAACACACATTTTGGGGCACTGCAAATACACAGCTCTGAACACATCCTTTGGGGCTGTGATTTCATGCTTGTCACATGACTCATACAGGAATGCAGCCCCAGAAGATGTGCATCCTGTTTTTTCAACATGTTGGAGGGAATGGAGGCCTGTAAGCAAGACCTGAGCTCAAGAGTCTTCCCCACCTCCTGTGGTTTCCAGCAACTGGTATTCAGAAACATTACTGCTTCTGAACACAGAGGCAGAGCATGGTCAGCACAGCTAGTAGCCACTGATATCCTTATTCTCTCACGTTAATTTTAGTCCTCTTTTAAAGCCATCCAAGTTGGTGTCCGAAACTACCTCTGCTTGATTGCAATAAAACCTCTCAGCAGTTTACAAAAAATGAAATAAAATTATGAATAAAAACAGTTAAAAACAAGTAATTAAAAGATGATTAAAATTGACTGAAATCTAAAGACGAATTAAAACACGTTAACATCTATGTGTCTGGATAACCTTGCCAAGCAAAAAATTTTTAAGCAGGTATGGAAAAGCGTCCACTGGAGGCAATTGTCAAGGCGTTCTAGAGTGTATGCTTTGCTACACTAAAAGGCAGATTTCTTAAAAGTGGGGTTGTAGCCAGTGCTAAGGGTAGCCTACTCAGGGTAGACCCACTGAAATAAAAGATTTAGGTCCATTTATTTCAGTGGGTCTGTGCTGCTGGCATCCGTCGGTCTTGAGAGACAATTGAGTGCTCCTCGAGGGGGGGGGGGTAAAGGCAAACTGCTGTGTTAGCAACACTGAAGTGACCTCTCTGAGGTGCAAGCCTGGGCAGTGTGGCTGGGCTGCTCAGGGACATCTTCAGAAACATAAAACTGGGTGGCACAACCAGACCACTAAGAGGGTCAACCAGATGGGCGGGTGGGCCTGGGATGCTCACGCCCCCCTCCCCACAAGACAGGCGCATCCATGGCCACTTGTCTCTCCCTGGTTCTCCCTCTCCTCCCCTGCCACGATGAAGGGGACCACTGCCACCCATGGAACGCCCCACATTTTGCTGCTTTCTGCCATGTATCTTCTTGGCCCCCAAAGGCTCTAGGGAATTGCACCCCAGAAGGCAGCCGTGCTTTTTTTGGAGCAATTTTGTAAAGAGAGGGAGGGGAAGCCTATGAAAAATGAGCATGCTGTTAAATGGTTTCTTTAAATGTAAAGGTTCATCACTGTTCCACCAGATGTGTATGTCTTTAAGGGGCCAGAGCAAGGGCCAGAGCAAAATAACAAGACCCAGCTTTACAGCTGTGAAACATAGCAGGTGCTGCTGAGTTGTATTGATTAAGCTGTGTTGGCAATTGGGTGTAGTATATAAGGAGCAGCACCTAGCTCTCCCATTACCCTGGGGGATGGGTTGGTGGTTGGGTCTGGTTTGTTGATGTATTTAGTGTAAATGGAGTTTTTGTTTTTGTAATTAAAACCTTGTTTAAGTTATTTTTGAGTCCCTTTTTAATGCATGGTCTCCCCAGCAAGCTCTCTGCAGCGTTACTATACTGCAAAAAGCCAACACATGCATGGAAGGGATGCTGTAATCACTGCAGAGCAACTGACAAGCAGATCCAAGGGAAATGTGCTCTTTTTTTTACACAGATGTAAATTTAGAAAAATGACAAGGAAGGGAACAGAGAAGGTTTTGATTTACGCCGATACCAGGAGCACTGGAGTGTGAGCACTGTGCGTGTGGTTAGAGAGAGTAGCCTGAGCAATTATATTTAAGGGTGGGGGTTCATAAACATAAAGGATTGTAGCCAACTGAATTTTACTCATATTAGACCCACTGATGGGTGTATGGGGTGTTAGGGGAGGGTGGGGAACACGTCATGCTCCTTCTGAGGTAGTTTGTCCACCTGTGGTCTCCACCCTGCACTCAGCTCTCACCTGTGGTTCCTAGAAGCTGTCAGCATGTGACAGCAGCTGCAACCTGGAAAACGGCTTTTACTAGCCAGCTAAACCAGGTTGAGGGTAGCTGATGGGTCTCAAACCCTCATTGAGTTAGGGACTTCCCTTGCATTCAAAGGCAGGCTCTGGAGGATTCAGCAGATGAGAGCAATAGTGGGTCCAATGGACAAGAAGAGGGTTTCTGCATGTGCTGTAGAGGGAAGTGATGGGTAGATCAACCTGGGAAGGTAGCCCACCTAGGAGAAGGAAAACACTGGTCTTAAACCTCCGCTGCCTTGCAGGAGAAGAAAAGGCTAAGGAGTAAACCCTTCACAAATCCAGAGTGGAGCCCCTAAAGCAGTTGGGTGCCAAATGTATTGCTTTGTTTCTTTGGACCACATCCGTGAGGCTGAGAGGGAGGTCTTGTTATCTGAGCAGCCCTGGCCCACCTGGCTGACCCTCTTAGTGGTCTGGTTGTGTCACCCAGTTTTACGTTTCTGAAGTGGTTGCAGTTCTCAAGATTCTCCCCATGAGTTCATTTTATTCATAGAAACATAGAATTGAAGAGTTGGGTGGTAATCAAAGGGCCATTTAGTTCAACCTCCTGCAATGCAGAAATCACAGCTAAGGAACATAGGAAAGGCCTTTTCTCTGTTTCACCATTGCCTATTCTGGATCATTGAGGCCAGTTAAGTGGGTGGTTAGCTTTAGAACCAGATGATTTGGAGTGCAGCTACCATCAGACCTTGCCAACATGACCAGAGGATGCAGGGGCTGCTGTTGGCTATGCTGACTGGGGCTGATGGGAGTTGCAGTCCATGACATCTGGAGGGTACCAGGCTGGGGAAGTCTCCTTCTTGCCACATTGCTCTATTTGGCCCACAATATGCAGAACTGCATCTCCTGTGTAGCAGGAATGAATGAATGAATGAATGAATGAATGAATGAATAAATAAATAAGAATTTATGCTGTCACCTCCTGAAACCGTACAATCTTGGTGCAAAGAGAAGCTGGATTCTGTGATTTTTAAACCAATGTGCAGACCACAGCCCAGGTTGCAGAACCTATCTGTTGCCTCTGATATTGGTGGAGAGGAGGGAGGAAACCAATTGGGGCATTGAAGCCTCACTCCCTGATCAGTGGACAGTCTGCTCAGACCCTCTACCTTCCCATTTGGATCTCAATGCTTCTGCTGGACCTTTGAGTTGTCCCCCACCGGGATTCCTCCTCCAAGAGGTTTTCTTCTGATAATCCAGTGTCCACTGGGTTCAAGGGCTGTAAAATGCTCTCATTGCAGCAGAACAAATGTGTTAGTCAGACTCTCCTCCTCATCCTCTGTGTCTCTGGCCAAACAATATGACTGCATCTCTCTGATCCACATTAACACCAGCACCTCTTCTCTGCCTCTCCTGCCTTTCCCACTCTCTGCCCAAGACTTTGCCTCTTTCTACAATGCAAAAATCAAAGCCATCCACTCAGCTCTTGCTTCCTCTTTCCCCTCCACTCTCCTAGTTGTCTATCACATTTTGACCTTTTCCTTTTTGGAAGGGCCATAGCACAGTGGTAGAATGTCTGACTTGCAAGCAGAAGGTCTCATGTTCAATTCCTGGTGTCCCCAGGTAGGGCCTGGAGAGACTCCTTCCTGGAATCCTGGAGAGCCGCTGTCTGTCAGTGTAGACAATGCTGAGCTAGATGGACCAAAGTTCTGACTCAGTATAAGGCAGCATCCTATGCTCCTTTGTTTTTCTCTCCCTTGTCTCACTTGGTGAGTTGACTTCCTTGCTGCCTTTTCCTAACACCAGTTCCATCTTCCTTGATCCCACTTCCTCCTGCCTCTTGATAATAATCTCCTCCGCATCACCCAAATCCAATGGCATAGTGTGTGTGTGTTGCGGGGGGGGGGGGTAGAGGGTGCAGAAATTGGGGGTGTATGTGCAAAATTGCTAAAGAAAAATAAAGTGTTTTCTGGGTGTGTGTTTTTTTTAAAAAAACTCAAGCACAGTTAAAAATTCATTAAATAAATAATAATAAAATATATGGTCATACTGTCGCCTCCCCAGATTCCCTGTCCTTGCTGGGAAGACCTTCCCCCCCCCCACTGCTACCATCCAGCCCTGACAGGAACCATGGGTTAGGGGGTGCAATACTTGCCTTGCCCCGGGCACTGACAACCCACGCTATGCCACTGCCCAAACCTTCATCCTTGCCAGACTCATCAAGCGCTTCCTCGGTGGGATCCCTCAGGAATCCCTTCTCAGCCCTCTGCTCTCTTGTCTCTACATGTTGCCCTTGGGTAACTTCATCAACAACATGGGTGCAACCCTGGAATCTGAATCTATGCATTCAGCCTGGACCATGTGGTGCCAGTTGGTTTTGATATAGCCAAAGAAAGACTTGCAGGAGGTGGAGTCTGGAATGGAAGAAAAAGGTGGCTACTCTTGGCTGTGCCTGGGCAAGTGCCCACTTCATTTAGCACCGGGGTTGGCTAACCTGTGACCCTCCAGATAACAGTCTTGGCCTCCAAGTTCCCACCAGCCCCGATCAGCAGAACCAATGGTCAGGGATGATGTAGACTAGCAACAGCTAGAGAGTCACAGGTTAGCCATCCCTCCTTTTGGACCACCTGGGCTGCCTTGCATCTTATTTCCAAATCTATATGAGCTCTGGGATTGCTGCAGAATGTTGCCTCTTTCCTAGCCCGGAAAGCCCTTGTTGTTGTCAAAGTCGAGTGGGTTTTCTCCAGCATCTGCATTCCCTGAATTCCCATCCAGTGGCATGAGACAGAATACAAACTATGCGCTAGCATGCCCGGGGGAAACATTGGGCGGGGGAGGGAAGCCATGCTCCTTTCCATATGTTCATTTGCTTCTGAGGGGCGCAGCATGAGCTCTCCCTGAAAGGAGGGCTGATTCTCAACCTCTCTCTCTTGATATAACGTTTTACTTTTATTTTATTTCAGGCTTAAAAGCTGCATTTTGTCACTCAACAGTTGTATTCCAATTCTACAATACTGATGACTTCCTGCTCACTCATCATCAATGTTTACAATCAAGCTTACAGACAATTGTGTTTTTAAATTCCCTCATATCCAATTGCACCCTCTTTAACCAACTTCTTAGTGTACAGTGGTACCTCGGGTTACAGACGCTTCAGGTTACAGACTCCGCTAACCCGGAAATAGTACCTCAGGTTAAGAACTTTGCTTCAGAATGAGAACAGAAATTGCACGACTGCGGCGTGGTGGCAGCGGGAAGCCCCATTAGCTAAAGTGGTGCTTCAGGTTAAGAACGGTTTCAGGTTAAGAACGGACCTCTGGAATGAATTAAGTACATAACCCGAGGCACCACTGTATTCTGCTTTTCTCCCCTTAAACGTCAAACTCTGCAGTGGACTTCACGTAGGGAAGAGTCTTTTAAATGGGCTATAAAAGGTTTCTAGTCCTCACTGAAAGATTCTAAGAATCAATGCTTTCAGTTTTGCCACCATTATCACCAGCCAGTCTTCCTTTGAGGGTATTTTCTTATCTTTTCACTTCTGTGCATAAAGATTCCTTGCTGCTGTGGTTATATACAGAAATACAATTGAATTGTTCTTTGGGATTTCACTGCTCAGTATCCCCATCAGGAAGGCTTCTGGCCTTTTGGGAAAGGTCAGCTTACTTTTTAAAAAAACAAAATTCATCATATATCATGTCCCAAAAGGCCTTGGTCTGAAGGTAGAGCTGATTCTCAAAGTTCTGACCAACCAGCAGCCAATGCTACAGCAGAGGGTCTTTTCAGCCTTGATTGTCTATATGTTTTGCCTGGGTGATCATGATGGCCCCCTTTCTTTGGTTCTTCCCCAGGCCAGGAGCAGTCAACTTGATGAGCTGGACTCCTGGCATCAGAGGCAGAGGTTCTGGGTTCCAGTCCAGGCCACAGTACCACAGCGGGGCCTGCACCAGAGCTAAGGATGGGGGCAAGATTTAATCCACTTCACGTTTACAGGAGAAACTATCAAATCCACATGTTCTGATACAATATGCAAACTGAAACACATTCACACTTCTCTGAATTTTGCAATGCAGTTCTCCAACCAAATCATGTGTACAAAATGCACATGTTTGTGAAAACAACAAACCTATGTTTTGGAAAGCCACTTTGCAAAAATGTGTATTGTTGTGAGTTTGGGAGGTGGGGGTGTTAGGCTGTAGGCCTGAGCCCCCCTTCTAATTCCTGGATCAAGCAGGGGATTCCATTGCTGGAATAGCCAGGCCAGCCTAGTAATGTTCTGCTAAGTATGGGTCATTAAGGTAACAAAGGAAGTGGCTCTGTGGCAGAGGACAAATGAGTGTCCCCACTCTCTCACGTGGCTGGTAGTTAGAAGGACAAAAGCCAGAGCCAGAGTTGTGTGTGAGAGAAGGAGGCTGCAGGGAAAAGCATGAGAGTGAGAGCCATGCCTTATTTCCGCTGGAAGCCAAGACTGTGGCTATGGGAGAAGCAGAGCATTATTGGGGTGCTAACACTGTGAGCCCCTCCATCATAGGTTCAGGTTACAGTGGTACCTCAGGTTAAGTACTTAATTCATTCTGGAGGTCTGTACTTAACCTGAAACTGTTCTTAACCTGAAGCACCACTTTAGCTAATGGGGCCTCCTGCTGCTGCTGCTGCTGCCGCTGCCACGCAATTTCTGTTCTCATCCTGAAGCAAAGTTCTTAACCTGAAGCACTATTTCTGGGTTAGCGGAGTCTGTAACCTGAAGCGTATGTAACCTGAAGTGTATGTAACCTGAGGTACCACTGTATGTGTAAATAAACTATACATCCTAAAGACACTTCAGTCTCTGCTGGCGTTCATTCCAAGGAAACTAAACCCTGGGTAAATGCCTGGAACCCCTGCAATCTCTCACCGTTCTGATATTTGGGTGGCGTGCAACAGTGTATTAGGGAAGATTGCATTCAAACACGTATCTGTCAGGAGAAATGTGCACTAAAATGCTGGTGAATTTTCATAAGGGCTTTTTAAGACAAATTGAAAACAGATGTGGAAATGTGGAGAACTGAAACTGGAAAAACCAGAGACCGAAAGAAACCACGGGATCTGAAAATATGAAACTTTGCTCATCCCTCCAAGAATGCAGTCAAGTTAGCTGACTTCCCCCATTTTCCTTCCCCACTTTTATTATTTTTTCCACTAGATTTCGTCAGGATCTCTGGGTGATACAGAGCCTCATGCCCCCTTCCAAACCTCTACTCGAAAAAGCTTTATAATAATACACGATGTTAAAGGCACTTGTCTGTGAATTGAATGACTGGAGTATGCAGCTGGTGTGTGCAAATGGATGGAGGGGTGTGTGGGGTGTGTGTGTGTGAGAGAGAGGGTGTGATTTTTTGTGTGTGCATGTGTGCATAAATGAAAGAGAAAAGGTGCAGGTGATAGAAGCTGGCTAGTTAAAGCAGTCCTTGGAAACTCAGAGGGAACTCTTCCTACCATGATCTTTTAAAAAATGAAAAAGTGTGTGTGTGTGTGCATGTGTGTGCGTACATGGAAAAGTCTACATTGCAACAATGAATCATGCTCCTATCCTGGAATCTGTGGGATAATTACAACCTACACAAGGTAGTTTAGAAAAGCCAAAAACAATATAGAAGAAGAAAGAGCCAAGGAGCTGACGGAAGATGATGGGTAAGCTCCTTTGTTTGTTGCCCAAGGTCCTCAGCTTAGTTCCTCTCACTTAAAAGGAACTAGATTAGATAAATGCAAAGAGGATTAGACCGATTCATGGTTATTGATGGCTACCAGTCATGAGGGTTATGCTCTGTCTCCACAGCTGGAAGCAGCTGTTACATGTCACCCCAATCTCTGAGCAGTGCGAGATTCCAGGGGTACCAGGCGTGCTTAGCAGAGTCTGTGTTTCATTTTGGGCAATGAGGCAGAGCAGAGACTGTGGTGCCTTTTATGATATATGGTTTATTTACACATATATACAACCTGCATCTAGATGGGGAGAGTGCAGAGCATTCACATCCCAAGGGGGTCCTGTTCTTTCCATTGCTGCAGCCTTTGAGTCCAAGAGACTCCAAACATCGTGTCAGACTTTCTTTGCAGAATAAAACAAGACTTTCCTCTTTCTGCTCTGGCCCCCACTGCCAAGCTTGCACAAATTGCACTTTTTTTCTGTTCTGTGCTTGGCCCCAATAGAGCCCCTCTTACATGCAAGCAGCTGTTTCTTTTTTATTGTTAAAGAAACATGAAATGTATAATTTGGCCCTGAGAAGGTGGTGAGTCTTCTAGGAAAATCTCCAGTGAAGATTGTAGCATTTGGGCAAGGGGACCCTCTGGAGAACTGGCTTCCAATCTGCTCCACATTTATTGCTAGGACCTCCCCTAAACCCTAGAAATTAATAAAAGGTAGGATTTTAATTATTGGGGATGTGAAGGGAGAAATACAAGCTGCAGAGGAATTCCTGAGCTAGCCTACGCAAAATGACCTGGCCAAGTTGGGGCCATTAAGAAACAACACAGGGCCATTGAGAGCCATTGGCAATGCAAGAGAACTGTCCTCCCCTCTTGCCCTGAGATGTGAACAGAGACTGGGGGTTTGGAAGGTAGCCAGGGTAACTGGATGTGGGGTGACAGG